TACGTGACATACACAGACCTTGTGGAATGTCTCAAGTATTGCAAGTATACTTTTTTGATTTACTGTGTGTCATATGTATATGTAGTTCAAATAGTAATTAGTTCATATATATCATATATACAGTACCATATTATCTAAGCACATGTACTTTGATACATAAATGACAGAGATGAGGCTCTAGTTAATAAGTTCCTCCAGAGGTACATTACTTGGGGTTTGCAACTACGGTGACATGATACCAAGAACCCGATCAATCTCGCTCTCACATAAGCATTCCCTGTTCAGAACAATGCGAATGCACATGCCCAAGGTAACTAGGTTACTGTGTGGTCTAGGTGGATCAAAATCGCTGCCCACGATATGACTGTTTATGAGAACTATATTTTCTATACATTTTCGATGAATTACATTTTTTCACATTGGTATATGCCATGTCAGAAGGTCGTAGCCTCAGTCTCGCTATCTACGAGATGAGACTTGAATGGGATCTTGACATGATGTCACCATACAGTACTATGCGCGTTGCAAACCCCAAGTAGTGTACCTCTGGTTTCACACATAGTATCAAATAAATAATTTTTTTGAGATGCATGTGTACTTAAAAATTAATATTGTACATGTAGGTGCATTATATCTCGGGTAATTATACAGATTACTTCCAGACTTGGGACCCAGCATCACAAATAAATTTGCATAAATACGTTAATAATACTAGTACATGAGCAAGGTGCATATCGTTCAGAGTAGTGATGTTTAATGTGAAATAATGCTAACTGATATTCAGTGTAAACATGGTGATATGCACGCTAAATGTCGTCTGTCTGTACATGCTTGAACAGTATACAGAGAAAACCAAATCCGGCGACGGAACCATTATATTTGCTGTGATAAGCGGGTTTCAGACAGAACAACAATTATTTGCATTGTACAACGACAATAACTCAAAATACTAAAGACTAGAAGTTTATTTTGAAAAAAATATCAATAAGGAGGGTAATATTTCTGCCCCCCCCCCAAAAAAAAACCATTGACATAACTGCACATGTACGTTCATTTGGACATCATGCTTAATTAGCATAGTCATGTTTTCTGTGTGGTTTTGACAATTGTAGTTGGTCATGTGATAAAAAGGTGATCATTTGATATCACTTATTAGTAGAGCTGGTTGATGTTTTTATGGGTTAGTATTATCTGCAAACCAAACGTGAGTGGATAATATGGCTTGATGTAACTAGTATTAACTAGTATTAACTAGTATTAACTAGTTTTACAAACAAACTCTATTAGTAACGCATGTGCATACTAGTATATAAGTGTGACTATGGACACAATGTGTGTTTGTAAATATGTTTCTTAGATGCACTTCTAATAGTGTGAATACAGTAGACATGCATGGTATGTGAACTCATACAAAAAAACGCAATGTACAACGTGATGTACTGTACATGTAACTAAAATGACCTGCGCCCTCAGAGTAAACGTTGTCTAGACAAATATGTGAGCAATATACAGCTGAAAAACTCCAACTAAACCAGTGATTTCCTGGAAACAAGCAATTAACATGGAGTATTACAACTTTATTATATATGGGTCATAATAATTTGCATGTTAAACATGAGTCAAAATGTATATGTATTTTCATTGGATTTGGGTTGTTTTGATCATTGAGGTAATTCAATGAAAGTTGACCCATAGTGTAATTAAAATAGTGTTTGACCTTTTTTCATCATTAGTTGTCATCACAAATTCACAAAATAGTCCCATTATAGTCTGTACTTTCCTGCACAAAAATAGCTGTAAAAACTGAAAATTTACTCAAATTTAGTGTATTGCTCCAAAATTAGGGTTCATTTCTAGAAATATTGAAGAAAATAAGAAAAAAAAGCAGACAAATTTTGGTGAGAAAGTTTGGTGGTGAAATGGTTAAGATATATTGAATCTGCCATCAGATACCAGATGAATTTTATTCTAACCACAGGCTGTTCTTAAAGGTCTTTTCAACTTGATTCTCGGGGGGGGGGGGGGTGCATCCAGGCATTTTCACTGCCTGGCAACCATCACAGTGAAAACAAAGGCTGAAATCTCCCGGAAAACGGTACTTTGGGATAGTTGTTGAGACTCCCCTGAACAGTAACAAGATTACCGTACCCCTACAGGATTACTTCAATGATGAGTTTGTGCAGTTTCCTCGAATTTAGCCATTTTCATCGGCTCTTTGACCGGTGTTCCACAGCAGCCCGCATAGAATTAACTGGTACGGTGGTGCACGTCTTAGCAATGTAGAAAGTTCTGTGATGTAGCTCCGCCCCTGGGAATATCTTTATTCTCAAGCCATGTGTTATATACACATTGACTGATCTCTGAGATCTTTGTTTTTAATTTCAGGTGTATTTACTGCGCCATGGATGAACCGGAGGGCTTGTCTTATGAAGTACCACCATATAAAAACTTACAACATACAAATAAGGCGTTCGATATTCTTAATATCTTTAGAAAGTAAGTTTAAATGCGAAATATGCACTGCAGTATCTCCCCCTCTCCCTCTTCCTCACCCTGCCCCTCCTCCTCTGCCCTCTTCCTATGTAGGAGTAAAATGTCAAATCCATTACTGTAAAATACTTTATTTTTGCTTGGATTTTAATTTTCGCTATTTTCGCTGAAGGAAAGATTCAGTGAAAATAAAATCACCAAATATACCTTTTTCCTTATATATTTTACATGCAACTCGTCAAAAATCAGTGAAAATAAGTTCCATACAAAACACCCCAAAAGTGTTTTCAGCGAAAATTAATTCCAGCTAAAATAAAGTATTTTACAGTACTTGAAAATATAATTTTTTTCATATTTTAAAAAAGCTGGAAGCCCTACATGTACCATTAACATTGTATGCAGTTATGTGTTATTTTATTAATTAAAAGGGAACCGCTCAATCCCATGGATTGCACCATGTGCTCATGGGTAATTAACTCCGCCTCTGCCCACTAAGTAAATGAATGCTTATTATGCTCGCTTACTAAACTGTGATTGACGGGCATTTTGCATATATTAGCCGCCATTTTAAACACAGGATTTTGACTTATCGCGGCACGTTTCGATCGAAAACAACAACATTTATACATCAAAAGCCCAACCAGATGAGTTTAATCTCTAGAGTACATATTCATGCCCCCGTGGATATGTATTTGGAATCACAGCTTGATCTTTAAACATCGTAAATGGCATATTTCCTGGAGCTCCCGCCACGATGTGATCGGCTTGGTTCGGATTAGCATACTAATTGCGGCGGCCATCTTGCCCCTATTTATACTATCGGTTTCCTTCTGTTAATTACACTATAGTATTGACACAGTAAGCTGTACATTGAATAGATGCGACACTTGCGTCAACCACTCCAGTGTTATTTTCATCTTTGAGACATAAAATATTTCTATAAAATGTAATCTCTAAAATCTTCATCTCTAAAAAAATTTCCTGAGGTAAACCTGTATTATTTTTTGCAAGGCATGATGGGAAGTCATAGTGTGACCCATGCTAAGTCTGTGAACCCACTGACATTTACTATTATATAATTGACCTAAACTAAACTAATAACTGTAGTAGATCTAATTAGAAGTATTATTAAAATTTAATTTTGTTGAAAACCAATGCTTAAAGTGTATTGGGTTTGCTATTTTGAGATGACTGTTATTCAGACATACTATGTATTAAGTAACCAGCTTGCACGCTAATTCTTCACAGGCAGGAATGGTTCAGTACCTTCTCTGATCATGGATGTATTCTTATGTAAAAGGTATATTTTATCCTTTGAGTGCCAAAGTCAAGTTCATGCACAATTCTCAAAATTTTCATTTTTCAACGAAAGTTTTCATTTTTTTGTTTGAAAACTAGAAGCAATGTCAGATTTTGTCTGTTTAGTTCAAAATTAAGATTGAATTCAGTGAAGATTACAGAAAATGCGAACAAATTTATCTTAGTTTAGCAGAACAAAAAATTGGCATTCAAATGGTTAATTACACTCAGGAGGTGTATTTGTTGTATTGTCATTTTTTTTAGAAGTATTATACATATCATAAGCAGTGTTTTTTGCAGATATATTGCCACTGAGATATATTTACATCTCAGAAATCGTATGCACCGGTATTTGAAAGAAATTACTAGGAATGTGTTGAGAAATATGGGCACCTGACTGAGAAAATTTGCGTGAACACTGTTTGTATAGTATTACATGCGTAATGTTTGTACTTCCACAGTTTGATGTAATATACTACCAAATTTTATTGTACACGTTAACAGATGCTTATCCATGCTTTTATGCTATCTGACAACTACAGAATATTGAAATTATGTTATGTATTTATTATGTGTTTATTTTCTACAATTGTTATTCTATTGTTCTAAAATAATTGCTTATCATATTTGTGATTACCACATATGGGGTATTTGTGGTAATTATCGGGCTAATCTCAGAATCTGATGTTCAGAGAAGCTTGTAGGGGGACGGTCATGTTCGCACGAAATTCCCCTCTAGGGGATAAAAACCTAAAACAATAATGTAGGGATAAGATAGGGTGGCGATAACAAGACATTTGTTGTGTTATCTCAGTGTTTAGGACATATCTAATGTATTTTACAACTCTAGTGATTTTTCTTGTTACTGCATACCCCAGGTTGGGGAGGGCAAGGTTCATGTTGACTAATGCATTATTCATGTATTTGGAGCATAACATTTCAATAACTAATAAGTAATTTTTGTTTGAAAGCGAAATTATTTTCCATTCATTTGGGTGCTGTATAGATTTAATTCTACATGTATGTGTATTGATTTGGAATTACAAAGTTTATTTTGGCTCAGTTCATACACCAATTAAAAGCAAGCTTTTTAATATTAAATGTGGGTTATGATAATTTGAAATGTTTTATATTTTCAGACAAAATCAACTATGTGATGTAATTCTCGAAGCTGAAGGCGTTGAGATTCCCGCTCATCGAGTGGTGTTAGCATCTTGTAGTCCATACTTTTCAGCCATGTTCACAGGAGAGCTGGCAGAAAGTCGAGCTGAACGAGTCACTTTGCAAGAAATTGATGGCAAAGCATTAAATTTACTGGTAGACTATGTTTACTCTGCTGAAGTCCAAGTAACAGAAGATAATGTGCAGGTATGTAGACAAGTCTACACAGCTTTCCACTTGCCATACCACTAATGCCAAATTACAATGCTAGCAATTACGAGTCAAATTGCAAACATATTAGATGGAACTATTCACTATCTCTAGAATTCCCAAAGGACACATTATATGAATCAATTTGAGTGATTGAGTGATACTTCTCAGTTAGAAATAAACAGACAGCTCTCCGGCTTATTTCACCTAGAGGTTGCCTGAAATAAGTTCTATATCTTCTTGTCGTCAGCTAATTGATGGTAGACAGAAATGTGTGAGTGTGATGTTGGCTCAAATGAGTTCAGTATTTCTCGTCAACAGCTAATTGATGGTAGACGGAAATGTGTGAGTGTGATGTTGGCTCAAATGAGTTCAGTATTTCTCGTCAACAGCTAATTGATGGTAGACTGAAACGTGTGAGTGTGATGTTGGCTCAAATGAGTTCAGTATTTCTCGTCAACAGCTAATTGATGGTAGACGAAAATGTGTGAGTGTGATGTTGGCTCAAATGAGTTCAGTATTTCTCGTCAACAGCTAATTGATGGTAGACGGAAACGTGTGAGTGTGATGTTGGCTAAAATGAGTTAAGTATTTCTTGTCAACAGCTACATGTAATTGATGGTAGACGGAAACGTGTGAGTGTGATGTTGGCTCAAATGAGTTAAGTATTTCTTGTCAACAGCTACATGTAATTGATGGTAGACGGAAACGTGTGAGTGTGATGTTGGCTCAAATGAGTTCAGTATTTCTCGTCAACAGCTAATTGATGGTAGACGGAAATGTGTGAGTGTGATGTTGGCTCAAATGAGTTAAGTATTTCTTGTCAACAGCTAATTGATGGTAGACGGAAACGTGTGAGTGTGATGTTGGCTCAAATGAGTTCAGTATTTCTCGTCAACAGCTAATTGATGGTAGACGGAAATGTGTGAGTGTGATGTTGGCTCAAATGAGTTCAGTATTTCTCGTCAACAGCTAATTGATGGTAGACGGAAACGTGTGAGTGTGATGTTGGCTAAAATGAGTTCAGTATTTTTCGTCATCAGCTAATTGATGGTAGACGGAAACGTGTGAGTGTGATGTTGGCTAAAATGAGTTCAGTATTTCTTGTCAACAGCTACATGTAATTGATGGTAGACTAAAACCTGTGAGCATGATGTTGACTCAAATGAGTTCAGTATTTCTTGTCAACAACCAATTGATGGTAGACTAAAACCTGTGAGCGTGATGTTGGCTCAAATGAGTTCAGTATTTCTCGTCATCAGCTAATTGATGGCAGACTGGTTTAACATGTGATTATTGAGAATTTACAACAGTAACTGATTAATGAAGACACACATAAGATCCTGCAGTGTGTATGTGAAACATTCGAGTGGGTAATTTAATACTAACATTTTAACTAGGCACAATGTCGTGGCCAGTAAAACACCATATGGATTCTAAGCTACATTTAGCATGAGTCACATCAACATAACTATGAAGCACTATTTGATTCGAAGCTGTAATGTGATAGTTAAATGTTAGCTTATTTTGTTTTTTTCAGGCATTGTTACCAGCAGCTAATTTACTTCAGTTACCTGATGTACGTGATGCCTGTTGTGATTTTTTACAACGACAATTACATCCAACTAACTGTCTCGGTATTCGAGCATTTGCTGATGTTCATGCCTGTGCTGATTTACTGAATTGTGCACAGAATTACACAATGCAACACTTCAGGTAAGATTAAACTTATACAAAATGTAGCTGTAATTGGGATGAAAAAGAAATTATAATTTTATGGAACTACTCTTTTTGAATCGTATGCTAATTTATGCTAATTGGGCATCTGAGCTTGTCTGTATGTGTATTTATGACTGCCGATAGTTCTCAAAAATCAATAAATATAAGAATAATTATACTCTTATTAAAAATAAACTTTCAGTTAACATTATCAAGAACTATTCTCTATTAAAGCATTGCATCATGGGAGTAATTGTTGTTATCTTAAATTGTCATATACTAGTAACTAGGATAAAAATTGTATAATCACTCAACCAAAATAAGTTTTCATTTTAGTTTTGTGGGTAAAAATGTTTGCAGATGTCAAAGGAATCATTGTTACGAGTAATGTTTATCTAATTCTCATCAAAACATACATGTATGGAATAGTAATCATAACTGCATATGCATATATGGTGAGGTCTACCAAAACATGAATATTTACATAGTACCGTAAATTACTTTATTTTCGCTTGGAATTAATTTTCGTGAAGGAATGATTCAGCGAAAATAAAATCCAGCGAATATACCATCTTTCCTATATTTTACATTCAACTTGTCAAAAATCAGTGAAAATAAATTTCATACAAAACACCCAAAGTCTATTCAGTGAAAATTAATTCCAGCTAAAATGAGTTTTATAGTGAGCAGTGTTTAGAGAGCTGCTAAAAGTTCACATTTACAGGCAAGCTAGTTATAAACATAGAGTCTTAGACAAGTTTGATTTTGTGCATGTCTCATCTATAATCACATATAACAAAAAACATGACTTCAACGTTGCATATTGATATTCATTGTTTTATAGTGACGTGATTCAAGGAGACGAATTTTTAACACTGTCAGCGGGTCAGGTGTGTGAATTAATATCATCCGACCATTTAACAGTGCCAACAGAAGAAAAGGTACAGTTTAACTTATAAGTACTGTCAAATCTATAAGTAAAGATTATGTGATCCTGAGAAGTTGTGTTAAATTCCCATTTCTTGCGACATTAAATTTGTTCTGTATTTAATCTAGGAAATTGTATTTGCTTTTTGATCATGTGTATGTAACTTTCATACATTACAATCAAAATATTATTGAGGGCAGCATACATATATGAAAAAATTGTATGAAAATACAGTGTAACTAGAACAGGAATCAGTCCAGTTATGTAGTGGCTATATCACAGCAATGTCTCAGTAAAATTCAGTAAAAAATACGTCTATAATTTGGAGCTTCTCGGTGGATGATAAAATTAATTGCTGTCAGAAAACTTGTAAAAGGATTGTGAGTTCCATAGCAATGATCTAAGCATAGAATCCAATTGATAACTAAGCAATGACTTTGTTCTGAGTGTGTAGACAGTCTTCTATGCTTAATTTGAAGCTCAGACAACAACTCAAGTCTACTCTTACTGGAACTCGAGAATGCCACTACATACCTTTGAGGAAAACAAATCTACTGGTAGATTAGACAAGACCTATAATGAAATATGGATTTATAATATGATATCACTTTTTTTATTTATTTATTTATTTATTTATTTGGTGCTACACTTTTAAAGCAAGGGGCTCACTTGTACAGGAGCTGCAAAATTAAAGATACATTTCTTAAAATAAGTACAAGAAATACTGTTATAGATCATGAAAAATAACATATAACAAAATTAATATTAGTACAATAAAAATAACATTACAATCTACTTATTAGTTTAAAAATGTTGCTCTAACATCCATGGCATCACTTAATGTCTCTTGTGGTGTACAGGTTTTTGAAGCTGTTATTGCCTGGGTAACACACGACTCACCAAATAGACAAGAACATACCGCTATTTTAATGGAACATGTTAGACTGCCATTGCTATCCAGAGAATTTTTAGTACAGACAGTGGAAGAAGAATCGTTGGTGAAGTCCAATAACTCATGCAAGGATTATTTGATAGAGGCAATGAAATATCATTTACTATCTAGTGACCAGAGATCTATGTTAAAAACACCAAGAACACGACCAAGGACACCCATTGGACTTCCTAAGGTATGGCAACAATTACTTGTCATTCCATGACTATATGTAGTCTTGCAATATATGTATGTACACATGCAGAGGCTAGTGTTACCTACCAGAAAATCCGTGTAAACCACCCCCACCCCCACAAGCCAGTTGTGGTGCACCGGAAACATTTGTGAGAATTAAGGAAACTGGCAGGCCTAGGGCGTGTGATTGCCCATGGGGGGGTGACCTCTTAGGCAGGGCCTTTTTCTACTCTAGGGTGTTTCCTTTCGACCCAGGTATATTCTCTAGTAGTACCGTTTGGGGCTGCAATCTTTAATTAAGCCCAATGAGTAATAAATGAAATTTATTATTTCCACGGATTTTCTGTTAGGGTAAACAAAAGGCTTTATACAACCCTAATAATTGGGGCATTGGCTAAATAAACATTCTTGGCTGGCTATAAAACTAACCAGATTATTATACCAGTTAATGTTTGTAGTTGGTGGGCAAGCACCTAAAGCTATAAGGAGTGTGGAATGTTATGATTTTCAAGAAGAAAGATGGTACCAAGTCGCAGAGATGACATCAAGAAGATGTCGGGCTGGTTAGTATTGGAACCTTCTAATTTATTTGCTCGATTTGAAGTGCATGTAAAACAGTTGGGTTTATTGTATACTGTAGAATACTTTATTTTCGCTGGAATTAAATTTCGCTGAAAAAGCTATTTGGGTGTTATGTATGGAATTTATTTTCACTGATTTTTGATGAGTTGAATGTGAAGTGAAGGAAAAAAAGTATACACACTGGATTTTATTTTCACTAAAGCATCCCTTCAGCAAAAATAAAGTACTTACTCTACAGTACCTAATCATTATAACTTACCAGAGATACACTTGTCAATCACCTTAGTGCACACTACTACAGTCTATCACTCACGTATAGTCATTTTCTGAGGGTCACGTCTGAACATTACTATTTTCTGTTTCAGGTGTAGCAGTTATAAATGGTTTGATATTTGCAGTAGGCGGATTCAACGGATCATTACGTGTTAGAACTGTGGATGTCTATGACCCAGCCAAGGATCAGTGGTCGTCAGTGGCCTCAATGGAAGCTAGACGTAGTACACTGGGTGTAGCAGTTTTAAATTCCTATGTGTATGCAGTCGGGGGTTTTGATGGTTCTACAGGTATGTACACTAAAAATTCAGCACTACCTAACACTGTTATTTTAACACATCAGCAAGCGGTGAAAATACTTTTATAACCACCAATAATTGTGATTGTAGAAAAGCTGAAATCTGTTATATCAACTACTGTGTTTTATTTCTTGGATAAGAATGTTACATCTTTTTGAGAATGTCTTCATATTTTTTTTTGCTACATGGATTTACAGTTTCATCTGTAAAATCAATCATCTTGTTATCATGGCAACATCTATGGTTATGATATATTTGTTTCTAGCCATTTGTTCGTACGCCACATATCTTCATTTAGGATACCAAAAATGTTTAAAAAAATTGTTGTTACAGAACAATTTTTCGAGACACATTGTAAAAATTTCATGAAAAATTGTCCAAACTGGTATTTTTACACTGGTTTCTATGGTGACATTTTTTCATTCCTCAAAATGTTTCTAGTGTCATACTAGTAATACATATTATCTCCCATAATGCATTGCATATATGTGCAGTAACATGCTCAGTAGTGCAAAATTTGAATTTGTCTTGAACTGCCTTAATGATGTATATTAATTGCCTGTGTGCGAATACTCTCACTTATACTGCTTGTTCATTGTACATGGTCTAGGTCTTGCAAGCTGTGAACGCTATGATACAAAGTGCAATGAATGGCAGCCAATAGCCACAATGAGTGTCAGAAGAAGCAGTGTAGGCGTGGCTGTACTAGGAGGTAATTACTGTGTTCTTATTGTTGAGATCATCAGATTATTGTTTTGTGTAGAACATGTAGGGATGAAAATCTGATTAAAATTTGATGTTTGATATTGGCCAATTATTTTTTGATTTTGTCCAAGATTCAATATATAAAAAAAATATTCATAAATAACCAAAATTATTAAAAAAAATGGAGCCCATACCTACATTGATTTTAATCAGATTGGAATAAAAAAACTCTAATATGGTTGACTGATTTAACTACATTATATTGCTCACTGATCACAATCAGGAGCTGTGAGTACTATGGCCATTTCATATATGAATCATGAATTTATTTTTTAAGAAGAGTTGTTTCTAGCTGATTGTTTCAAAAAATTAGTAACCATGAAATTGTTGTTGTTAAAAACAGCATGGATACTGAATGTATGTCACTAACCATTCTGTCTCTGTCAACACTGATATATTTTATTCATTCATTGAACCTCTTTTTTTCATAAGCTACAAGTCAGACTAGTTTTATAATTCAGGAATTATAAATTGGAAAATGTAACATCCTCGTGGTTTATTTCTATAGGTTATATGTATGCTGTTGGTGGATATGATGGTGCCTCACGACATTGCTTGAGTTCTGTGGAAAGATATGATCCATCAATCAATGAATGGACACAAGTTGCGGAAATGAGCTGTAGAAGGTCTGGTGCTGGTAAGATCAATATTGTGTTATTTATCTTTGTTGAGAAGTATCTTTAACAAACATCAAGCTTGTGTTATCATTTTGTATTCAGTAATTTTATTGATTCCATCGACAATACATTGTAATTATACCTGTAGTGTACAGATTGGTAATGTAGTAGCATAGTTAATCCAAAGCTGAATTCTAGTATTACATATACAGTATGTCTGATTGGGTGAAACACATGCTAAGCTTGTGTTTCCTGTTGCTATAGTTTTTGCTATTTTATTCTGAAATTCGGTTATAATATTTCTGAGAAATCTTAGAAGTCGAGATGGCTACATTGACTGAGTAAAATCACAGAATATACCCCATAAAATCTGTATTAGAAGCCGCAGCCCTAATAGAAGCCGCACCCATTTTTTTTGAACAATCAAGACCCAAAAATTCACCATTTCTCATATGTGTAGATGCTCTAATAGAAGCCGCATCCCCTCTGTTGCATTGTACCATTTTAATAAAAGCCGCGGCTTTTAATACAGATTTTACAGTATACTGGGTTGAAGACTCTTATTTTTATACATATACATGCATGCTGACTGGTCATTCAAGCATTGATGATTAGGGCAAGCCAGCTGTCATTTGAAATGTTAATTCATGTATTTGTTTGTTATGTGGTACATATGTCAGCTCTTTCTTTCACATGGGAAATAACTGCTTTGAGTATCCCATGCTGCACAGTTTATTATTATACATCTGTCATTGTAATGCCATAAGTTACAGCGTGCCGTAATTTACAGGGTATTTTCATCCTACCATATTAGGAAATGCGAATTCCAAATATGGAATGATTACGCGCGTAAGCATCCTCTAATAATAAAAACAAACATGGCTGCCACCAGGGTTTGACCTGACTCCATACAAAGAAGTTCGCTGATTCTGTTCTTCGTAATAACCTTATATTATTATCACTATACACTGCATCTATTGTGATTATTAACATGTGGGCTTTATCGTTTTGTTATTCAAACCCAGTAGTATGATTTAAAATTGCAGTCCTACCAATCATGCATCCATCACAGCTACATATATCACAACATTACTGATGATTTGTTTCCTAAAATATAGTAGTGTCAGTTGGACATTAGTTTATCTTGTTATAAATCTAATCAGGCATTTATTGATTGAATGTTTGAAGACATTTATAAAATTTGACATGCACGTGTAGGCCAAGATCAGGTGCCGCTCGACTGCTGCTATGAAAACGTTATTTTTAACTTTTATTAAATTTCATTATTTTGATAATTTGAATATACTGGTTTTCAGTGAAACAATAAGTTTTAGAATATTACATAATTATGTAACATTATTATTTTTGGTGTTCTAGGTGTTGGAGTGGTAGGTGGTTTATTACATGCAGTTGGAGGCCATGATGGCCCACTCGTTAGAAAAAGTGTTGAAGTTTATAATCCTGATCTAAATCAGTGGACACAAGTAGCAGATATGACACTTTGTAGAAGAAATGCAGGTATAGTGTATAATATATGGAAAATACACAACATTTTCAAACTTTTCAGAACTGCATATGTTTATATCAACATATTTGGTTTGCTTTCATTTGAGCTATTTTAGAAGTGTAGATGCTTATATATATTTATTGACTTGATCTGTTAATAAGAATTATTTTTTATTAGAAATTAATGTTAATAATTTACAGTAATTCCAAAACGACATTTTCTACCTGGTGGTCTTCTAATGATCCCTCAATAAGTGCATATGTGGCTTACATGCTTCTCCATTGAAGATACACGTCTTATAAATAAAATACATTATTAAACATAGAATTTTACTTGTGTTATCTAGTTTGTTTTGCCACTAATACACTCCTATTAATTGTATGAATATTTTGATATCTGTATAGGTGTGTGTACTGTCAATGGATTGCTGTATGTGGTAGGAGGTGATGATGGGTCTGCTAATCTCTCCTCAGTAGAGTGTTATAATCCACGTACAGATACATGGTGCTTGATACCATCCTGTATGACGACTGGTAGAAGTTACTCTGGAGTATCTGTTATTGATAAGCCCTCCTGACTAGACGGGGAGCAAGAGGAGGCGTGCCAATCCTGCCAATCTATTTCACTACGTCTAGGTGACACTGCAGTGTAACTGCACACATGACTAGACCTGTACTACATTTACATCGATGATACTGTGGTGTAATCGCAGTATCATGTCAAGGCAACACTGCAGTGTAACCACACATGTACTACTTTAAACCAAACTGCAGTGTAACCACACGTGTACTACTTTTAGACCAAACTGCAGTGTATCTGCACATGTAGTACTTTAAACCAAACTGCAGTGTAACCACACATGTACTACTTTAAGATCAAACTGCAGTGTAACCACACATGTACTACTTTAAGATCAAACTGCAGTGTAACCACACGTGTACTACTTAACGACCAAACTGCAGTGTAACCACACGTGTACTACTTAACGACCAAACTGCAGTGTATCTGCACATGTACTACGACAAAGCGATACTAAACTGGAACCGCTACATTACTTGTCAAGAAGACATTGCAGTGTGTAATTGTGCATGCAGAACATCAAGGCAACACTGTGTTTGTAATTACATCTGGGTGACACTGCATTGTTGCTACATGAGTATTGTACTTGTGCAAAGTTTTTGATGACTGTGACATTTATCACATAGGACTAAAATTCTGTCGTATTGATGCAGACGAAACAGTAAGCCATTTTTGATTTACGACAAGTCTGTTCTGCGTGAATTTATAAATAAATAGAAGATGTTAATAAATAATATTTTGAATCATTTTCATAAATTTCATAATATATCTATATTGTCAATTAGAACCCTCTTGTAACTGAAGCATTCAAAATATGAGTGGGGCCAGTGTTCCCGAATTCAGATCACATGCTCAATCAGATAAGAATTGTCATAACTATTTAAAACTAAAAAGAAAAAATGTTTAGTCTAAAATAATGTGAGTTGTTCAAATGAAATTATTGTTAGCTATTGATAATAGTTGACATACAAATGCTATTTTGCATAAATTTATAAATATTACAAAAAAAAATATTCTAGATCATAACACTAAAAATATTGTGATATATTAATATACTAGTATTTAATTATTACAATATACCTAAAGAGTTGATGGGACCTACTGTTTTGTTGTTGTCATGACAACACCTGATATTACTCTTTCCAAGTTTTTTGCCATTTCAATGTTTTAATGACCCTTTTCTACCTCTTGAATTAGCCATATATATCAGTTTAGTATTATATTTCCACAAGTACTGATCTGGAAGATGACATCACCACTATGTGAGATGACATCATCACTATGTGAGATGACATCGTCACTATGCGAGATGACATCGTCACTATGCGAGATGACATCATCACTATGCGAGATGACATCATCACTATGCGAGATGACATCACCACCATGCGAGATGACATCACCACTATGGGAGATGACATCACCACTATGTTAGATGGCATCACCACAATGTGAGATGACATCACCACTATGTGAGATGACATCACCACTATGTGAGATGACATCTCCACTATGGGAGATGACATCACCACTATGTGAGATGACATCACCACTATGTTAGATGGCATCACCACAATGTGAGATGACATCACCACTATGTGAGATGACATCACCACTATGTGAGATGACATCACCACTATGGGAGATGACATCACCACTATGGGAGATGACATCACCACTATGGGAGATGACATCACCACTATGGGAGATGACATCACCACTATGGGAGATGACATCACCACTATGGGAGATGACATCACCACTATGTGAGATGACAACACCACTATGCGAAATGACATCACCACTATGGGAGATGACATCACCACTATGCGAAATGACATCACCACTATGCGAGATGACATCACCACCATGTGAGTGAAGTACATAGCTATTGAAGTTGTCCCATGACATCATTCATGTAGCTTGATTGGGGTCTTAGAACATGTGAAATATTTTTTGATCTGAATGTGCACGAAATGGTTCTTCGTTACTGCTGGTTGTAGTAATTTGCACAGAAGTGAATCTTTGTTATTATGAAATATTTCACATACCCCAATAAAGCTCTATGAATTCTCTTGGGAGCAACTCTACAGTGACACTTGTAATAATAACAAACATGTACTTTGCATGTTTTCAACAAAACTATTTATGTAAGTGGTCCAAAAATGTGTTCTTTTCTGCTGAAATTGTGAGATAGTATTAGAAAATTCAGGTTTTAACTTTACATATCATTAATGATATAATTCACCTTGGTAAACATTCTCTCATAAAATCTATATGACATAAAGGCCAGTGATATTTAAATACATTTCTGTATGTGATCTTTAACAAGAAACAGTAAGAAAAATAGTTTGAGCCAGTATCTAGGTTTAAATACAAATTGTGGGGAATTTTTGGATTCCCAATTTTGTTTCGTAATTAGTAAATTCAAATATGGTTTGTATACTTGCCTTGAACAAATTCATTTTGAGTTACAGTGCGGTGTGTGGGAGGTGCTGCCATTAAAGATGATATAGTTATTCATTACAATATCCATCAATTTTTACATTTTCAATTTCCTTTTTGAATCACCAGGCAGGTACCTGAAATGATTCACTTATTTTTGTGCATTTCATGACAAGTTTATGACTATTTTTGGTCAATAACTGATATTTTCAATTTGCTTTTGGAAAACTTAAGCCTGATTGCTTTAAAAAGCATGTACCTGGGTTAATTCCAAGTTCTTCGTCTCTTGGAACATTTTATATTTTAGTCAATGTTTTTGCATGTTTTTGGTAACTGATATTTTTGACTCAATTTCTCTGATTTTCTTTATAGGGTGACTATTTTCATTTGATACATGTATACTGGTAAATATTTCAAGACATTTTTACTTTGAATACTGGATCAAGCAGATTCATTAGAATATATAGACTGCTTGTTTGAGTATGTGATGCAAACAGCATCAGATGTAACCCACCCCCAATATATTTATTTATGGTGAGTGTTTGATTGGGTGGATGGGTGACATAATAATGTTAAAAATGGAAAAAACTCAACTCAAAACCAGACACGTTTTATTTTGGCATATTCTGAAATGCAAAAAAAAAAAACATGCATTTCTGTTATTCACTGTTACGTTATTTACTGAGGTAGGGATCTTGCTAGTCAGTGCAAAGCTACTTACAAGATTATACCTGATTGGCTACCAAAACCTGACACACAACAGTTAGACCAATCAGAGAGCAGCTTTCAAACAAATTTAGCCATATATATATATATATATATATGCTTTGTCATTGGTATGTATTCATTCAAGGGTGATTGGACTGAATTTTCTTTTTAATGTCAGTTCATGCCAATAATATACCAAAATTGAAAACAAATGTATACCAGTACATGGCATGTCAAATATATTGGTTATACAAAATTTGACTGATGTGATTGGAAAGGTAAATTTGACAGATATAATGCTTACCATTATCTGATGTAATTCCTGTACTGCATTCAAACTTCAAATACTAAATCCTATCTATTGCCATATTGTCAGTTTCATTACTATGTTAGTAATATGTTTATTATTTATTTGATGTGACTGCTTTTCTATGTACAGAGCTTTGTTGTAAATAAATTTAACATAATAAACATATAATGGTTTTGATGTCTTAGTTAACATCCAGGTTTAACATACTGGTATGTCTGTCGCGAAATTGCTAAACTGTTGTATGCACTATAACATTCTTTGCTGG